CTGCATGTGTGCCATTCTTTGCCTTTCTTATGTAATTAGAGATGATGTTTCAGGTTATTAGATTTCCTGAAGACAAAACAGGCTACTTCTCTAACCTTCCAATATTTTAAACCTGTCATACTTATCTCTCTCTTCAATTACTGCCTTACCCACCACAATCCCAAGGCCTTACTCTACCAAGAAACTGTTTAACTCTACTGAGCATTTATTAAATACCTACTATGTGCAAAGCACTGTGCTAGGGGAGGAAAAGATACAAATATAATGAACACATGGTTCCTGTCACCACTAAACTTGCATTCTAGCAGGGGAATCTAATACAAGTCCAGGTAATGGTGATTTTTCCAAATAGGTCCTAAGAAGTACAAAACGGCACGTGAGGTCTGAGGAGGAAAAAATCAGCAGTAAGCCAGAAAATCAGGGAAGGCTTCATATAGGAAAAGGTACTTGAGCCAGGTGCGATAAGTTTCAGAAGCCAGATGAAGTAGGAGGGAGGGCACTACAGGTGCAGTATGTGTGTTGGGGATGGTGGCAGAGTGAGGATGAGTTCTTTGAATAAAGGCACAGAACGAATCATAGGAGAGTTTGTATACAGCAGCAACAAGTTTGTTTTGTGTTTATGTTTTATAAACATAATCACAGATGTTATTGGGAGCCCACTTCAGACCTCTTCTTATCCAATTTAATTCACATTTATAAACATGTAGTAAGTACTTACTATATGCAAGATCTGGCTTTGCCACAGAAAGGATAATTCTAATTATAGAATCACAGAATTTTGCAGCTAAATGCTATCTCAAAGTTCACCTGGTCCAACCATGTCAATTTTAAAGATAAAATGAGGCTCAAAGAGATTCTTTTTTTTTTCCCCCGAGGGTACATAGCTCATGAAGAGGCAAAGCTGGGGCTGGGGCCAGGACTCAGTTCTCTGGCCTCCCAGTACTGTGCTCATTTCATCATATGATGAAAGTGGGGGGAGGTAGAGGGAGAGGAGAATTCAAGAACAATACTTGACAAAATAGAGCTTATTTCATTGAAGATGCAGTGGACTAATTGAGACATTATATCTTTATGGTTACTATGCGAACTTATCAAGTAATAGTAATATTTTCAGGAGAGAGAGAGTGAGAGAGCAGCTCTTTGCTCATATTAGACATTTTAAAATGAGTTTTGGAGCTTAGACAACAATTATTTTTACTAAAGCACTATATTCCCTATTTATGTATGTACATATATATAGGTATATATATAAGAATTAGACTCATTATTTCAGTGATGTAGGAAATTCTTGAATGAGCAAACTCCCTCTGTCCTCAATTGATATTAGCACCTTCACTGTAACTTGTAGTCCTACAGGATTACTAGTTGCTTAGACAGAGAAATTAAGTGACTTGCTCAGATTCACACAGCCAAATATGTCAGAGATGGGATCTGAACTTGGTTATTCTTGGCTGCAAGACCAATTCTCTAGCTACTACTCTATGTTGCCTGGTACCTATTCAAATATATGCATATATATATGCATAACACATACATATTTAAGTGCTAATGCCCTGCTTTCTGCGTGAACTGCTAGTGCTCTCCCTCTCTTACTTAACATGTTTTTATTTTGGTATTATTGCATAGATATTTATATATATACATATTGCCTTCCCAAAAGAATATAAGATCCTTTAGAGGAAGGACTATTTTGTCTAGGTCTTTGTATCACAAACACCTCGCACACAGTAGGCAATTAATAACTCTTACTGAGAGAGAGAGAGTTACAGTATAACTAAAGAAGATAGATAGACATGAGTATATATGTCTAGATAGACAGATAGACAATAGACAGACAGACAGATAAACAGACAGGCGATAGATTAAGGCACAACACTTTCCCAGGAAAGGAAAATACACAGATCAGTTTGGGTTTGTTCTTTAACATGTTAAACGTTCTATGTAAAAATGAGAGTTCATGATTAAATGCAGCGATTGGCCTTTGAATTACAGCATCTTATTACTGATGACAGTCTATTCAAGAAACATGTTAATCTTTATTTATCAGGGAAATGGCACAATCTATTTCATTTCTATTGAGGGGATGTCAATCATGACAATATATGCTTAAAAAGAAACAGACCACAATAAAATATTTAACCAGCTTCCCTTCCCACACTTACTACCTAAACAGAGAGCATTAATTTAACCTGAGAGGTCTAATACAAATACTAAATTTATTTTCATTTTAAATTTTCCTACCTAGAATGTGATTTCTTTCAGGACCTACACCCTGACTAAAGTACCTAAATAATTATACTTATGTCATATGTTCAACAGTAAGAGTGAAGTCATAACCTAGGAAACTCATTTCTGATCTCCATTAAAGGATCTGTATATGAAGGAGCAGGCAAGAAGGAGGAGGACTGAGATTTATATTTGACAAATAATATTTGGCAATTAAGAGATCAATGGTAACTTCGGTGAGAACAGTTTCAGTTGAGTGATGAGGTCAGATGACAGACTACGGAGAGTTTAGAAGAAAGGGAGAAGATAGGAAGTGGGAGCACCAGATACAGATGACTTTTTCAAGAAGTTGAGCAGAGAAGAGGAGAGATATAGTACAATAGGTGGGGGTGGAGGGGAATGGTAGGATCAATTGAGAGTTTTTTTAAGGATGGGGAGCCCTCAGTATGTCTGCACTTAGTAGGGGAAAAAACAGCAAACAGGGAGAGATTGAAGATTAGAGAAGGTGAGGACTATGGCGAGGGACAATCTTTTGGAGATGATCACGCCCGCCTGTAAATGGGGTTGGCCTCAGCAAACAGAAGGGCCACATCTTCATCTGAGACTAAGGTGAAAGAAAAGACAGTGAAGAATGATAAAGGGATGGCCAGTGAGGAGAAAGGGAAAAAAATGGAGCTCTGAGATGGACTCAGTTTTTCAGGACTGAAAAGATGTCACAACTAAAGAGCTAATTTCTATCATTCTCTAAAGTGCTATCACTATTCAGTATATGAATGCAATAGAATATTATCATAAGAAATAAGAAATCAGAGAAACCTAGGAATACATTTATGAAGTGATGAACACTTAAGTGAGCAGAACCAGTGGAATAATTTATACAACAACACTATAAACATGAACAGCTTTGAAGGAATTAAGAACTCTGATCAATGTGATGGAATCAATGTCAATGTGTGAGAAGAAGACATACATTTTTGGTCATGGCCAACATGGGAATTTGTTTTGCCCAATTAACACACTTATAGCAAAGGTTCTGTTCTGCTTAAAGTATTTTCTTTCTCAGCGGGTGTTGGGGATACAAGAGGAAGAGAATATAAATGCTTATCTTATTAATTGAAAGAAAGTATTTTTTAAAAATTATATCAACAACAATTACAAAATTTAGGTTACTCCTATAGGACTGAACTTTAATCAGGTAAGTATGGCTAGCATCAGTACTAATCAGCTAGCATGAGAATTAACCAGATCATGAACATTAGTAAAAGTACAAATAGGTATGTCTGTGTAAAATGACCAACGTGTAATGGCTTTCATTTTGAATGTACGTACAACAGTATTAAAAGATCTATGAGAAATATATAATGAAGCAGAAATTATAGCTTACTATTTATTTGGGGAGGGAAGGCAAACATAATCCAAAAATGTCCACTTGAGGGTAAATATAACTTTTAGATTTAGGCACCTATCAAGTGCCTAGCCCACAGTAGGTATTTGATATATGCTTACTGGATGACTGACTTGTTGAGCGCTTACATCTTTCCTTCTAAACTTTTGTCCTCTATTCACTGAAGCAATTTCCTCACTTCCCTCCTACTTTCATCAGCTGGACAAAGAGAAATGGGCCTCCCCTCATAAGGAAATATAGAAAGTATTAGCAGGAAAGGGTTATGGAGTAGTGTAGCATCCTGGCTTAACTACCTCTAACTCCTATGAAGAATGGCAGCTTCTTAGCTCATACCTACTGCCTAATTTCTGTTTGGTTTCTGCTTGCATCTTGGACTAGAAAAAGAAGTGAGGCTAGGGCAGAAGGAAGCACACTTGTAGAAAGATAAAAAAGATTTCCAACAAAAGTGAGATTATGAATGAAGTAAACCCAGAAAGCCAGTAGCACGACCACAGATAGAAGAAGATAAGATTAGACTATAGCACCTCAGTCACTGGGCATGTTGGACCAATTTTTGTGGACTATCCATTATCTGATTTGTTCATTTTAATAATGAGTGGGGCATGGCTCTACCATCTGCCTTCCAGATGACCGGTGAATCTCTTTACTAAGAATAAAGATATAGCATGTAGGATCAACTACAGTTGTTTCCCTGAAGAACAAAGAGCCAGCATCCAAAAGCTCAAGCTGACCTGACATTAATTTAGCATCCTCTACTTTAGCAAACCTTGATCATAAATGATCAAAGACTTCAAAAACCGGATGTTAGCTACATCACAGTCCATTATTTTATTCTCTGTCTTCAAGGTAAATGTCCTTTACTAATGCTGGGAATAAAAAGGCCAGGAGAAGAACATATAAAGACGTTTTAAAGAATCTGCTTGTAAAACTTGCTAGTAGTTTTTAAAACTGCCAACTTACAACATTTCTACTAGCTTTTCTCACACACAAGAATACAATAATGCATCTGATAAAAATAAATTAGCAAAAAGCTCATAAATGCATATAAGCATGTACACAGGGATATACACATTCATTTACAAATATGTAGAAAAAGAAAGAGCCTAATTTCTTTCAGGCCTGGTTTAATTTCTTAACTGACTTGTGGGCCCAAGCTAATCCATATGGGTTTCAGAGAATTATCATTATAACTTTTTTTAACCAAAAACAAAACTTCATTTTTTAAAGAGACAAAAAGGCAATTTACGGTAAAAGTTCCAGCTAAAGAAAAGATTTTTTTTTTGAATAATGGTGTGTCATACAGGAAAAGGGAAAAGGAATCATTTTTCACATCTCATTCACAAGGTGGAAATGATGGTAACAATCTTACCTGATTTCCCCACACCTGCTCGGCCAAACACTGCCAACTTAACTTCGGCACTCTTAGCCATACCGAATAAGGCAGGTAATGTTCTTCTCTCAAAAGAAAGTAACTTCGAAAATTGATTTGGCTTTTGTCTTTAGCTTTACCATATCATGGCAAACCTCTGCACGTCCTGTGATTCCTAAATAAAATAGACATCATTAAAGAGGAAGGCAAAGCCATTTTTAAGAAAGCTGTGCTTTTCAACAATAACTGACCTTTGTATTAGATTAGTGAATGCATAATGTACTTTCACACCGGGTATATTAGTTGAGAACACTTTCAAGGCATTATTTTGGTTTTTTTTTTTTTTGGTTAGGCAATGGGGTTAAGTTACTTGCCCAGGGTCACACAGCTGGTAAGTGTTATGTGTCTGAGGTCACATTTGAACTCAGGTCCTCCTGAATCCAGGGCCAGTCCTCTATTCACTACACCACCTAGCTACGCCTTCCAAGGCATTATTTTGGGCTATGAAATGTATCTTCTTGGCAATGAAGACAGACATCCTTAGAGCAGTACACGTTCACAATTTATTTCATGCTTTAATTTTCTCCAAATTCCTACTGTGGGCTGTTTTTTTTTTCTTTTTTCTTAAAGTCAAGAGAGGTTCTTAACTTGGCTCTGATGAACTTTTACAGAAAACTAATAGCTATATTTTGATATGATTGGTTTCCTTTCTAATTTTGTCTTATTTTATGCATCTGAAAACATTATTTTGAAAAGAGGTCTACCTGAATTAACTACAAAGGACATATGAAGGAAGACACTATCTGCATCCAGAGAAATAACTGATAAACAGACATATGTATAGAATGGTTTTACATATATTATGTATATATTTATATTTGTGTTTAATAGTAACCATCTGTAGGGTGGGGGAGGGAAGGAAAAAGGGAAAAAAAGGAAAGTTACATGATAACTTTATCATACATTTAAAAGGAATAGCAAATTGTATACAACAGATTTGCAGTTTCATGTACAATCATCTTTTTTTTTTCCTATTCTACTATATTGTGGAAATGCTTGTTTTATTTTTTAAGTTCAGAATAAAATAAATTAAATAAAAAAAAAAGAAGAGGTCTAAAGGCTTTGCCAGACTGCCAAAGGGGTCATAAAAGGCTAAGAATCCCTGCACTATAAAGTAGACAAGATTCACACTGACATTCATAGGGGTAAAGTGACCCTGCCACAATTATATGATACATAAAATAGCAAGGGTTTTTTTTTTAATGTTTTATTTGGGGAAAATTGCCTCATGAAATATGGGGAACGTCTTAAGACAAATAGAATTGTGAGGGCCTAAATTCTAATTCTAATACTTCCACATATCTCAAACAAGTAACTTTGTTCCACAGTTGGCTACCTAAAGACCCACCATACAGGAAACAGAAAGAAACAAAGTAAGTCTTATGTCTTTATCTTCTCTAGTACAAAAACCAATGCAGATAAGTAATCTCAGCTATCGCCCTTACTACAGCAAGGCAATCCTTTCACACTTCTCTAATCAACTTTTGCTCTTCCACCCACCACAGAGCCTATTCCAAACCTTTTCATCTCCTCTCAAACCTCCCACTGCAGCCTCTCTCATCACCCTCTCATCTGAGGCCCATGACTCATCCTTCACTAAGAAAACAGACCATTTCCAAGAGCTTCCTCTTTCCCTCTTCTCATCTCCAAGTATTCAGATGACTTCTGCCAACTCTCCCGTCCTTGACCCCTGTCTCACATGCCAAGGCAAACTCCTCTACACCTACCTTTGATCCCATTTCATTCTTCAGAATATTATCCCCTCTTCATCCTCACTCTCACTTATCTTCAGTTTCTCACTGTCCCCTGGCTGTTTCCCTGCTTCCTGGAAACATGCCCATGTCTCTCCCACATTTAAAAAAAAATCTCTCATTTGATCTCACAATCCCCACAAGGTTTCCTCCTCCATCTTTCCTCTCTTTAATGGCTACACTTGAAAAGGCGATCTATAGCCAGTGCCTTCGCTTCTTTTCCTCTCAATCAATTCTCTGTAATTCTCTGTAATCTGGCTTTTGACCTCATCATTCAATTGAAACTGCTCTTTCTAAAGTTAACAATGCTCTCTAAATTGACAAATCTAATGGCTATTTCTGAATCCTGATCTTTCTACAGCCTTTGACACACACATTGATCATCCTTTTCTCCTGGATACTCTCTTCTCTCTAGTCTTCTTCCTAACTCTCTGCTCCTTTTCAATCTCCTTTGCTGGATCTTCATCTAATCATGCTCATTAGCCCAAGAAGTCCCCCAAGAGTCTATCTTGTCCCTTTTTTTCTTTTCCCTCTATACAATTTCATTTGGTAATCTCATCAGCTCTCATGGCTTCAAAATCTATAATCTGGCCCTATCTCCTGAGCTTGTCTCACATTGCCAACTTGCCTTTTAGACATCCCATATTGGATATATCACAGACATCTTGGAACTCAACATGTCCAAAACAGAATTATCTTTCTCCCCAAATTCTCCCCCATGCTGAGCTTCCTTATTACTGTTGAGGGTACCACCAACAGCCTCGTCCCTCATCTAGTTCACAACTTTGGTATCATCTCAGTTCCTCATATGTATACACCTTATGTATCCAATATATTCCCTAGTCTTGCTACATTTCTCATATATGTCTCCTCTTAATTCATATCTACTACCATCATCTCACACCTGGACTAGTCAATAGACTTCTGGTCATTCTCTCTGCTTTAGGTCTCTTCCCACTCCTATAGTCTTCCACTCAGATGTCAAAATGATTTTCCTAAAGTGCAGGTCTGACCATGTTATCTCCATTCAATAAACTCCAGTGGCTCTGTTAACTCTAGGATCAAACATAAAATCCCGTCTTGACTTTTAAAGCCCTTTACAACCTGGTCTCTTCTTACTTTTTTAGTTTTCTTATACTTCACTTTGTTCCACATACTCCAGAAATATAGGTTTCCTTGCTGTTCCTCACATATACCACTTCATTTCCTGCTGCAATGTTTTTTTAGTGGTTGTCTCCCATGCCTGGAATGCTCCCTCCCCTCACCTCTGCCTCCTGGCTTCCTTCAAGACTCAGTTCAAATCCCATCTTATGCAGTAGGGCTTTCCAATTCCCTTCTCTCTACCCCACACTGCACTCCTGCTAGTGACTTTCCTCAGATCTCACAGTTCAATTTTTTTTTTTTGCATAATGTCTCCCCCATTAGGATATAAACTCCTTGAGATCAGGGTCTACATTCCCTTCCTATACTGAAGAGTTCACTACTAGAGGTAGTTCATTCCATTAGTGGACAACTCTAATTGTTAAAAAGTATTTCTTATATGGTGGGCAGTTAGGTGGTACAGTGGATAAAATGCTGGGCCAAGAGTCAGGAAGACTCGTCTTTGTGAGTTCAAATCAGGCCTCAGACACTTACTAGCTGTGTGACCCTAGGCAAGTCACTGAACTGTTTGCCTCAGTTTCCTTATCTGTAAAATGAACTGAAGAAGGAAATTAGAACTACTCCAATATTTCTGCCAAGAAAACCCCAAATGGGGTCATGAAAAATCAGGTATGACTGAAAAACAATTAAACAAACAATTTCCTTACATTGAGCCAAAATCTTCCTTCCTTGGATAGCCACTCATTGAGCCTAATTCTGTAGAAACTGAATAAGTTTACTCCCAACTTTCACATGAAAATTCTCCATACATCTAAGTACACTATTGTATCTTCTTTATCCTAAAGAGAGGCATTCTAGTCTAAGGGCCATAGAGTCAGCTGGAGGCCAGGAAAAGCTGGGTTCAAGATCCACCTCTAACAAATACTGATTGCATCACTCTGAGCAAATTACTTAATTAACTTCTCAGTGTTCTAGTCAACATTATTTGACTATCAGTTGCAGAAAAATGTGCTGTGTTGGTAGAGTCTCCTCACCTGAGAATTCTCTATAACAATGAAATGACAAGTCCAGTCCTATGCCTCCATATCCCTACTAAGTCTTTTCTTTTTTATAGGCTAAGTATCACCAAATCCTTCAACTAGTCTTCCTCTGATATGATTACAACATTCCTCTACCATCTTGAACGTTCTCTGGATGTCCTCTAGTTTATTAACATGCCTCTTAAAGTGTTGTGTCCAGGACTGAACACAGAGGGCATAAAACAGTGAGTCTATAACTTTCTTAAATCTAGATATTCCTGTTATTCATTCATTAGTTTCCAGGAGTCTCATTACCAAGTTGGTTTATATTGCATTTGTACAATAGGGATAGGGACTAGATCTGGGATCTTTTTTAAGGGAACTTCCAGATGAATAAACTCCCTTAGTAAATTCTACTAAACACAAGTTAACATCTTCTCAGCTAAGAGCTGCCTAAGACATCTATCTGAGAGGTTAAGTGACTTGTCTGACTAGTACAGGTCAAAGGCAGGACTTGGTTCCAGGTCTTCCTGGCTCTAAGCCCAGTGTTCTACCCACTCACACACTGCCTCTCAGTTGAATTTTTAGACAACTATCTTTTCACATGAACTGTTTTAGTCAAGGCCAATGTCCCCCAATCTTTATTTTTTTAAACTCAACTCTTCCCGCTTTTCTAAACTATCAATATCTTCAAAAAAACCTTAATTCTATTCTCCAACCTACTAGCTAGTCTTCTTAGCTTTATTACCTGCAATTTATCAGAAAACTTTATTTCAATAGCAAAGTAATTACTCAAAGGAGAATGTCATTAGCAAAAGTAATAGCTTTAAACAAAGGTGAAAATTTCTGGAAAAAAAAGTTCTGTAACACCAACGATGTACTAGAGTTTATTATTCATTTGTGCTATTTTACATATATATATATATATATATATATATACATCATATACACATATACACACACATGTATATGTATTGTGCTAACACATATACATCAGCAAAATCTCTACTTTCAGGCTTTTAGTCATGCACTTACCGCTTTCTAAAATGTAAGACCTGAAGATCCATATTACCACTTGCTAACACGTTAATAATATGCTCTAATTAGGGAAAATTGCCTTAACAATTAAAAACAAAACAAAACAAAACAAAATTTCAAGAAAAGCTTTTAGCATCTGTTCTTTATCCAATTTCATACCTTTATCTAAAAATGAAAGGTTCTCTTATTTTATCTTTTTATGGCCATGATTATTCATAGGGAAGGTTGCAAAAAGGGCCTCAACCATTATGGATCACAGATTTAGGACTGCAACATCTTAGAGGTCATCTAGTTCGGGTCCCTCTTTTTCCAAATCAGAAATGGAAGCCCAAGGTCATCCAGAGAGTAAATTAGAAAATCCTGGATTCAAACCTAGGTCCTATGTCTCCAAGTCCAGGCTTCTGTCCACTGCACCAGGGAACTATGTTTCCCTAGAGAAAATTCTGTAAAATGTATTTCAATCACATAATTATCAAATGAGATTATTTGCTTGAAAAATAAATCTGAAACATTGAATGTGCAAATGTTTATATATGAGTTGTATATACTAATGGTCAACATTTCATGCAAAGTTGTCCTTTTTTAAGACCATATTTATCTGGTTTATATTTTGTGAACTTTACCATCTAATCTTTCTGTTCCACAGTATTTAGAAAGCCAAATATTTCAATAACTTCCATCTAGCCCTAGTGACAGGAATTTCACAGAAGAATGAGAAGATTTCTCTCCATTTATTACCTCATGAAGTTACAGCTGGATATTGTCAAGCTCATGCCATGTTCCAAGAAAAAACTGATTGGGGAGACATAAAATTGACTGACAGTGGCTCTTCAAAATTTTATTTCTCACAATTAGACATCTCACATTTGGCAGTCAAATGGCAAACATAGATGTAAGTTCTGTTTTAATAATCTCTATTTTATGTCATTTGGTTCCAAGTTTCTGATGTTTAAAACAAATCACAGTGGAACAACTGCCATAAAATACTGATCTCAGAAAACTAGCTTTTTCCTAGCTTCAGTTTCAGGAGGGCACTGACTGATTCAAGGGGGATGCAAAGCACTTTTTAAAAAAACGGACATTTGTTATTTGGAGGATGATAGGATTTAGTGCAAGAAGGGAACTCAATACAATAAACATTTAATAAGCACCTACTGTATGCAAGGTACCGTGCTGGACACTAGGGATGCAAAGATGAAATAAGACACTGCTCTTGCCCATAACAAGCTTCTGAATACTTGTCACTAATATCTCTGCTAAGGGTAAATTCGCACCAAGAATTTTCATGCATTGTGGATGGTATTCTGGACTGCTTCGGAGCCTGAAATCAAATCTTCTGTCCTCACGGTTATTACTAATCTTTCTATCGCTATTCATCCTCCCACACGGGTCGCTTGGCATCTCCCCACTGCCGCAGGCGTGATGGTCCCCGCAGCTGCAGGCGGGTTAAAACTAGGTGTGCAACAGGTAATGCGCGGGCTCCAACATAAAGGCCCCCGTAGACGTCTCCTTCCTGCACTCACTCCGTGGCCAGGGGCGCAAATGCCGCAGCACTCCCTCCGAAGGTCAGCGCTGCCCGGACCGGGCTCCGACGGGAGCGCGCCAGCCTGGGGAGCCTCCCCCAGCTCCGGGCGCAGCCGGAGGAGAAAGCGGGGCGCGCCGGGAGCCCGGCCGCCCGGGCAAGCGCGGGACACTCACCTCTGCCCCCGGTCAAGTTCAGGGCCGGGGGAGGGTCTCTTCCGGTCTTCTCGCAGCCGCTTTGCAGCTCCGGCGGGATTCTCCGGGTGCTCGTGGGTGCCCGCGTGGATCAGGCTCGGGGCTGAGACGCAGTGGCCGGGGCAAAGGAGGCAGGAGCTGCGGCCATGGCGAGGGGGAGGGACCTTCCGTGCGCTCCCTCAGCCGAGCGCCACAGCGACTGCCGCAGGATGCCCGGGGGCTGCGCCGACTTGGACCGCTTTCCACCGCCCCGCGAAGCTTCGTAGCCCTGCGGAGCGGCGCCGCTGCGCCCCCTGGCGCGGGCCCGCGGCGCTGCGCTCTGCGCGCAACCCGTGGGCGAGAGGCCCGACAGCCCCGGGGCAATTTCCTAGGACTGAAAACTGAAAAAGGACCTTGTGCTTGATTTACTGCCATCCCCTCAAAAAGAGGAAGCGGAGGACCAGAGAGGTGCAATGATTTCCCCAAGTTCGATCCCCAAATATTTATTAAGTGCCCACTATGTACCATACCAGGCACTGTGCCAAGGTCTGCAGGTAATTATACTAATGATGATGATGATGGTGGTATGGTGATGATGATGATGATGATGATGACAGCATCATCATCATGATGCTAACTTTTATATAGCAGCTTACTATTTGTCAGGCACTATGCTGAGCATTTACAATTATTATTTTATTTGATCATCACAACAACCCTGGAACGTATATGCTGTTATTATCCCGGTTTTATAAATGAGGAACCGGAGGCAAACTGAAGTGACTTGCCCAGGATCACATGGCTGATGAATGTCTGAGGCTAGATTTGAGCTCAGGTCATTCTGACTCTAGGTCCCTCCACCATCAAACAAAGGCAAAAATAAGGAGCTCACGGTCAACATGCAGGCAGTATCTTTGTGGGGACAATGCCATTGCCAGCTCTCCCTTGGATTTTTAGCAAGAGGGTGGGAAGGGGATTTCTCTCCGTGCACTTTCCCAGTAGCAGCAATAATAACTACACAGGTGGCAATGAAGCAAGCCTAATACAGAAATCCAAGGCACTAACTGCCCTTTCTGAAATGAATATTGATCCTGAGAAATATGCTTGTCCAGCCTCATCAACTACTTCGTGAGTCTGAGGGGGTCAGGAATCATTAAATCAAGTGCTCTCTGAAACTACACCTTTCTCAGAAGAGAGGACTACCATTTCCAGGGAGATTAATAGCCATACATTCCTGGCTGACCAGAAGATAAAGACCCTGAGTTGCTGCTCACACTGTACAGATTCAAGGTGAATGTGAAATATCTGTCCAACAGTTCCACAAATCTACTGGTAGCATTTATCTCCAGAAATGGTATAATACAAATGTTGGGTTGTAGATTATGTTTCCAGTATGTGCTAAAAGTGTATGAGTCTTTTGTGTTTTAGGCATTGTTTCAAAGTGGAGGAAATAAATAGCTGCCCTCTACCTGATATTTACTACTTTGTTCACTGAGAAACTTTTCAAGAAGTTGCTAATCCCATTTGGGGAGACCTTTGTGCCAAACCTAAGATTTATTTAAAACATTTTCCCCAGAGACCGTACTCCAGAGTGGGTCAATAATAAATAGTTTGTTTTTTTTTACTGGCCTTTCTTATTCCACAATAACCTCATGGCAACATGTAACCTTGGGAAGCCTCTGTTTTCTATGTCAAAAGATCTCCTTCAGTCAACACATGGATAAATTGTGGTATGAGGAGATGGTGAAACTTCAGGATCAGAATATCATAGGAGAGGTAAAATGGTTATAAAGATTGAGTTGTAAAGATTGAGGAAGAGTGGTGACTACTTTTCTTGGTTTAAAAAAGTAATATTTCTGTATCAAAACTGTTTGTATCTGTTCATGTTTGCATAGTTTATGGCAGCTGACAGTGCCAAAGAGATTGTTCCAAAAGGTTGTATATGCTGTTACATTTTGGTGATGAAAAATAAGAATAGGAAACATAACCACCTGAACCGTAATGAGAATGGCTAAAAATGGAAATCTGACCACTTGGATGCTGAAAGTGGGAAGGGCTTTTTTGGTTTTTTTGGCTAGGCAATGGGGTTAAGTGACTTACTCAGGGTCACACAGCTAGTAACTGTCAAGTGTTTGGTCTGAGGCCAGATTTGAACTCAGGTCCTCCTGACTCCAGGGCTGGTGGTCTAGCCAGTGCACCACCTAGTTGCCCCGGAAGGGCTCTTCCATTTGTGACAATCCCCTGCCCCTATAAAAGATGTTTGGGGTCAAGTAATCTTTGAATGTTTAAAAGGGACAAGAATAGATTATGTTGATGGTTCTGTCACGAATACACCCTTGAAGCTAGTACACCCTTGCTTGGAGTAATCAAACAATGCTACAGGGGCAGAATTTTGACACTTTTTAAATTTAAATTTTATTTTGTTGCAATAGTACTTTCTTCTTTCATCATTGACCCATAATCTTTCTAGAACTTGTGAATTGAACTTGTGAATGATCTTGGTTATTAATGCTTTAAATTATGAGCTATTTATAACACTGCTACTCATTTTGCATGTGACATTGATTTTCCAAATATCACTTGCCTTTTGTAATTGTATATGTACAGTTATTGTAATCCACATTTGCGTGGTTCTGGGTATATTGTTTTGTAGTCACACTATATGTTGTTCAGAGTATTTGTTTGTCTTTTTGACTTTTTATTTGTTATCTGACCCTGCATTTTTGGTGGTTTGCTTTAGCATTATTGTTTTGCAGAATTCAAATTTAATTAAATTTGAAGAAAATGGAGGTCAAAACTCGAATATGGAGTAATGGAATTAGACATGAAGAAGCCTTTTAATTTTAGTAGATCATGAATATAAAAACAAAGATATTCTTTAAAAAAAACTTTAAGAAAGGCTTGAAGAAATTTGAACTAATACACAATGGTCAATAAGAAGTTCAGGTCACATGATCAGCAAGATAGTAGACCAAGAGCTTTCCACAAACCTTTCAAAACTGAACACACACACACACACACACACACACACACACACACATGCATACACACACATACACGAATATGTAACTATAAGGTAACGGAAGCTGAATCCATAAGACAGGATAAAAGCATCACACAAGGAAAATACCTCATGAAATAACATAAAAAAATTTAAATATTAAAACTTCTCATTAATGCTTCCCCACTCATCCCATGATGCCTTCTGGGTACTATCACTACAACCAAACTCACAGATTTCTGTTTCAGCATCCAGTTATGCGTTCAGTATTTCAATGGTAGTGACTCAATCAGATTTACTCCTACTCCATAAGAGAGAGGATACATTGATTCCACCCAGACAGATGGGAAGGAAAAAAAAGGAAGAGAGGTTTTATTTATAATCAAATGAGAAAAAAGGCATTTATTAAGTTTGAGATGCCTAGGAACATTCACAGGCTAGGCACTGAGAATACTAAGAAGAAAATAAAACAACCCCTTCCCCCTAGGAGCTTGTATTCCAAAAGAGTAGATATCATATCCAGAACATATACAAAATAACCACAATGGAACTGGGGACGTGGATTAGCAGGTAGAACATCAAGAAAGGCATCATGCAGAAGGTAGCATTTTATCTGAGTTTTGAAGGAAACTAGGGATTCTAAAATACGGAGATGAGGAGGGAATGCATTTCAGACATAAGGAACAGCCTGTGCTCAGATAAAGGAAGGAAAGCTGTGTATGAAGGACAGAAGGAAAGCCAGTTTGATGGGGCCATAGAGTTTCTGAAAGATAATAATATCAAATAAGGGTGGAGACGTTAAATTTGAGCTAGGCTCTGAATGCCAAATAAGGTAGTTTGTATATGGTCCTGCCAACTAATAAGGAGCCATTAGAGTATATTGAATGGGGGGAGATGGGAGGGGCAGAGTCATAGAGACCTGTGCTTTAGGAATATCACTTTGGTAGCTGAATGGAGGATGGATTAGGGAGGATTAGGATGTAAGGCAGGAAGACCTATTAGGAGGCTATTGCAGTAATCCAGGCAAGAGTTAGTGAGAGTCTAAACTAGAGTGACTGGGATGCAAATAGAGAGAAGGGATGTGATGAAACAGGTAAAATCAGGTCTGCCCACTGATTAGATAGATAGACTGAGTAAGAATTAAGTTCCTAATGGTCACATTTAATTAATGGATAAACGAAAAAGAATTTACCCAATGCTTACTATTTGCCAAGCACTGTGTGCTAAGTATGGGAGATACAAATACAAGCAAGATAGTTCTTGCCCTCACAGAGCTTAAATTCTAGTAGGGAAAGATCATGGTGACCAAGAAAGGGTGCTTTGGTTTGGTAACTCACAAAGATGGTAAGTAGAAAATTACCACTATTAATAGACATGCCCTTTCCAAAGGCAATGTGAGTGTTGATTTGAACACAGTTCTGAGAACAAGAGGTAGAAGGTGTTAGAGAATGGTCCCATAGAGTTCAGAGTTTAGTGGTGCAGCCTCTGTACAGCTAAATGGAAGTCTTATGTAGGTGCAACTTTGCAATGCTTCTACCTCTACCTCTCCAAGGCTTCCATCAGTAGCGCCTAGTGTGTCTCAGTGGGGAAGTTGAGGGAGGGGGAAGAGGTAATAATTTAATTTCTTCATTGGCATCTAGGGCATAATAGCTTTTATAAAATAAGTCCACATGTATCAGAGGTATCAAAGTGTGCTTGATCCAGTGTGATTATATGTGTATTTTCTATGTAGATTTTTGGGTTCTTAGTGGTAATACCTGATTCCTTCAAGTGTGTGCAAAATATTCCAGATGCTTAGAGCTACAAAAACTGTGGCAGGTGAAAGATGAAATGACTTGGGTCTGAGTATTTAAATTTATTAAGCACTGCATGCCAATTGCCCAGCAAATTGGAACCAGGCCCCTTCCTCAACTAAGGGCTGGGCCCCAAATACAAGGGGAGACAAACTTTTAGACATTAAAAACAATTAATCAAATAAGACCAATTAATTAAATGGAAATAATACATTAGGTTATCTGATTTCTAATTGAAGGAAAGATTAGGGACTTTCCAAGTTGGGAGGGAGAGAGTAAACATGTGCAATTGCTTGAATTCAGAAAAAGAGGTGGCCCATTCCCCTCAAATGTCTGTAAATAATCAAAGGAATGTGGAAACGATAACTGATTTATCAGTGTGGGGCCAGTTTTCGATAAGATATATGGGTTGCTTGAGATGTACAACTGTGAGAAAACTTTGCATTAATCTTTGGATGTAATTGAATTTCTGGTCAGC